GAACCAGGATGACCTCTGGCAAGAACATTTTATCTTTAAATGATGTATTTACCCCATAAATCTAAAGACAAACAGTAGATAGGGAATAAAACCTTATTATACTATAAGTCTGCAGAATTCACCAGTTATTAACTAATATTTAATGTAATCCATAAGTGAAAATATTTTCATCACTGAGTAAGAAAAAAATAAAACTCATTTGCATGTGTTTAAATTCATTACCCTATTCAAAAAGGTATGTGGAGTCTCCTCATGTCTCCAGTGAGAATTAAAAAAAGGTTACAAGCCCATGCTTGACAAAGTATTCAACTGCATAATAAAATTACCATGATTTTTTTCTTATTTTAAAAACTCATCTGAAACATTAAAACCACCATGATTTTATTCTGATTTGTACTTTGATAATTAAAATAGTCACTTGATTAGGATAATCAAATAATCAAATAGGAAAAACCTTGTGCAGGAATGATATAGAAGTAATACTGAATGTTTGGATGAGTGAATTAGAACCTCCCACTTTTAAGAATTTCTAATTTGGGGTGAGAACACTCTGAATATTCCAAGCCTCTCCTCTTAGCTCATGCTTCTGAGGGTTTCCCTTGATAATAAGGGAAGAGTCTGTGGCACAAAGTTCCATGTGCATTTAGCCAGAATTATTAATTCAACTAGAAAGACAATTTTATATCCACAGTTATACAGAAAAATCAGAAATGATAATTAGGAGAAGGCAAACTCTTAGAACAAACACTTATCATCCACCAAAGTCAAAGACACAGATTTCTAGTACAGTTGAGACCTCAGTTGGAAAATCAATGCTGGTAACCCCGACACAGAGCCAATTATCTTTAATCCTGACATTTGAAGTAAGTTCAGATTAACCAAAAAGGAAAAAAGTGTTAAAAGGTAGCTGTTCTTACTTTACTGCCAAGATCCCTGAACTTTAAAGAATATCACAGCTAATCAATTTCAATAGAATTTGGCATTTAGGCTTGATTCTTGGATGAATTTCCGATAATTCTTAAATCGTTAACCTGGTTTGGTAACAACCCTGTGAACCTCTCCAGCTAATGGGGAAATCACCAACATGTACTAGCAGTGGCAGGATGCTTTCAAGTTGAAACCTGCAGCAGCAGCTCTTTCCATTAAGTTGAACTTCCTCAGCAGAGGTCTTCCCATTCTAATGTGGGTTTTATTTTAAGGCACTAATAATGAAGGGTATGGAAAAAGCTAGGGATATGTCTTTCCTGGAATAAAAGACATTTTCAAAAACAAAAGTCAGTCACTCATCTGGCCTACTTCAACATGTGAACAGGACCGAGAATTTAAAAGCTTTCTTGCCTAGCCGATTCAGCTCCTTTCCATTCTCCCAAACTTAACGTCTATGTCTCAGATTTATATTCCCTCAAGAGGCAATAGAGAAAGATGGCAAGGACTTAGGGGAAAAACAAACAACAACAACAAAAAAAACCAAGCAAACCTAGTTAGTGGCCTAGTCTTGTGATCCACGAATTCCATAATAATGGCACTGAGTGCACATACCCAGTGGCTGGAACTGTAACAAGGTGTTCTTTTTTACTGTTGTGAGGGAAAAATGTATAAGGATAATTAATTTTTTACAACTGGGCAAATGGAATTCATTAATAGCAAAGAGCAAATTCTAGAGGAAAAAAATCCACTCTGAAACCTCAGTTCCATCAGGATCTCCCTATACCTTCCAATGAATTCAGTTTTGCCATGAGAAGAAAATTAAATAAATAAAACCAGGATTCAAGCCAGGTGAGCAAATACCAGTGAATGAGTGATCTGACTGCAGGGGTTGGCTTGGCGGGGCAAGATCTACCTAAAGGAGAAATGTTTCCTGTGCGCGTTCACACACACACTCGCACATGCATACCCATACCTGTGCACTCATACTGATTTAAAAAGCGTGGATGTGGGGAAGGCCCTGCCGACATGATTAGGCATGAGCACAGTTATTCCATCTGCAACTATTTCTACATAGGAAAGGATCTGAGCACATCACGCATCCACAGACACACGCTTGCATGCACAAGGGCCAGCCTGGCTTGCACACAGACTCAAACAGATCCAGAGACTCCTTCTAGAGCTGTGGGCTCTACAGGAATGATTAGTAGCTGCAGGATTATACTTCCTCTTGATAGGCAGGATTTTTATCTTGCTCTTCTTTCCAGAAATCTCCCCTTTCCAAGAGTACTAAAGCAAGCCCTGGAGGGACTAATCTTGATTCTTCAATGGGTATGACTTAGAACAAGAGCTTACAGGAATTAAAACTAGCAGTAACATGGCCCCTTTGGGGTTGGGGTGAAGTATTTCTGGATTAAAATAGTTTTGGGGCCAAAAAAAGCAGAGTTCTGGGTGGAGGTGGAAGACTCCCACGAAGGAGATGGAAATGTCTGAAAATCCATAAATCAACATAAACAAAAGAAATGAACATAACTTAAAGGGGCTTCAACTAAGTATCACTGCAACTGAGTTTGCGGACTGAAGAAGTTCTGCTCTGATGTAGGGAATTAAAAGATAATTGATAATATTTCTTCTTGGAAAGACTCAGCTGGGAGTGATGTGGTTGGTGGGCACTGAGGACGGGGGAGACAGAGGCTTAAGGCTCAGGTATTACTCCTAAGGTTTCTGCTTGCCTGACTTTGAAGGGAAGGGCGCTAACGCAAAAGGATCAGCAGCTGGCAGCTCCGTAGTCCTGGAGGAAAGGGGCGTGATGGAAACAGAGCCAGCTATTGACTGCTTGTTGGTTTGTGAAACAATTTTGTAGGCAGCAATGGGCTGGGCTTCTGGACTTGGCTCATCTTCTGGGCTATAGTGACGGGAATATTTGGATAAGGACTGGGGGCGGAATGGTTTGCCAGCCACCGGGCCTGAGACACCTTCTTTCTGGGGCTGAGGTCCTTTGTTTCTGTCATTAGGATGGCCCCCAGGTTCCAGGGAGGATCCCCTGGGAGAGAGGCTGTCAAGATGGTCTGCTGCTTGTACAGAATGGGAGGGGAGGTTAGACTGTTGCATAAAACCAGCCACAGAATACTGAGCTCGGACAGAGGTGTACACAGCTCTCTCAAGGCCTGAGAGCAAAGGGACGTCACCTGTCTGACTCAGGAGACTAGCCTGTGCAGGCAACTCCTGGGAGGTGCTCTGGACAACTGTTAACTCCTCCATGCTTTTCTTCTTAGTAAAAGGAGCTCTCAAAAACACATCTGCCTCCTCTGGCTGGGAAGAAGCCACACTGCCCTTGGAGACAAACGGGGCTTTGGAGAAAATGTCCATGTCATCAGTTGGAAGCCTTGAGCTCCTGAAGGGGGCTGTGGCAAAAACATCTGGCTCACTGAGACCATCATTGGCTGGTTGTGTGAGGGCTTGGAACTGGTTGTTTCTTCCACTTTGCACTGTCTTTGCTTGCTCGGTAGAGACTTCTGGCTGAGTGAATGGAATGGCTCCTCCCAGCTTCCCTTGGGGTGGCCTGCAGCTCTCATCTTCTTCTTCGGACTCCATAAGGAGAGGTCGAGACCCACTGCAGTCCAGCATGTCCCCCTCGAGGTCAGTCCCTTCCTCTTCGCTGCTGTGGAACGAGCTGTTGCTTGAAGGGCCATCTCTGGCCAAGTAGTCGGATTCTAAGTTGTTCTGAGTCTTTGCACCAGGTACTCTGGAGGGGTCTGGATACAGGGGAAGGCCTTTAACACCCGTCGATTCTTTAAAGTGCTCTACAGTTATTACAGGACAGGGATTGGACTCTCTCTGGAGACCTAGAAAAGCATAAAATGCAGAATTAATGTGTAGGTCGGTTCAACTCCTTTTTGGAACATTTAATGGTCAACCCGCGGCAGAAACATTGTAGGGACCAAATAATAGATGTTGAAAATGGAAAAGGAAAAACAGAAAAAATAAAAGTCAGGCAAGGAAACTGCACACAAACTGGAACACAACCAATCACTGTCTCACATTTTGGAACATGATAGGCACAAGGTACAGGAAAGGAGATGAAGATGTTAGGCACACAGACATTCAGCACAACTACGCGATGCTCCTACTCGCGGAGCCAGGCACGGACACCTGCTCTACCTGGCACTGGCTCGTAATGGAATGAAAACAAACCCAGTCACTCATCTCCACATATATACCATGGCAGTTTTGGATTACGTAGAAACACTGTCTGGGATGATTCAATTCAGATATCGTGCATGTGGTCATGTGCTCCACATGCAGAGGGTCAAACTCTCTGAAAAGAAGCAGAACGTGGCTGCTTGAGAAATGCAAGTTGACCAATGATTTACATCACAAGCACTAATCAAAGAGCACAAGAGTGCCCAAAATACAAATACTGAAGGTACTTTCTAAGGGGAGAATACAGAATCAAAAATCATGTTAAGTAAGTCACCTTCAGCTGGAGTTGCCCTGGAATTTTGTTTTCAGTCTTCTAAGTTAGTAAAGATCTCCTCTGCTTAAATGAATCTGTCATAAAGTTCTTTAAGCAGAAGGAGTAAAATGCATGGGTAATTACAGAAGAATTAGCTAACTCCAATACACTAGTCTATTTCTATCTAGGTAGAGGTGCCTCGGGGTGCTCTGGCTTTTAAAATCAAATAGACAATTATCAGAATGCAAGAGAGCTTACCTTCCAAGAAATATTAGCAGGTTAGAAGTATGTCATTGGGCACATGTTAGCAAGAGGGCAGGAAAAAGGCATATGTAACTAAGCAAGAAGAATCCAGAGAAAGGGTGGTTGGGGGTAAGGGTATCATTTCACCATGGGCTCAATAAAAAAATACCACTGGAGTTTCCCAACCCACCAGGATAAGAATATTAGGTACAATGATTTGGAGCCATAGATGACTCAGAACCTCTGTACAGATCAATCATCCCCTTCCCACATTGACCCTCTCCCCTCCTGTGTAAACCATTGGCTAGTAGAAATGTCTGCTAAAAATTATCCCCTGCTAAAGTTTCTGCTTGAATTAAACACACAGACCACGGCAGCAGAGGCATCAAAATCAGTTTATTGGGAAATCAGTCACTTAGAGACATTACATTGTAAAGAGAATGTAGAGAGAGGTCTGAACATTGTATAAGATACTATACAAAAATACTATGTTTCTCTGAATTCTATAACTTTTTAGTAGTGCTTCTTTTCAAACAGTTCTGACCTTAAATATTATTTGCACAAACAAACAAAAATGGTTTTTCCCCCATTTTTACTTCCTTTTCTAATAGTTTGAACGTATTCAGTGAATGCCAAATTAGAACACTAAGTTAAATTCTGTACTGGTGCCAAATGGCCTTCTGTATAGTATTTGAAGAATATGACTTTGAGGAGAATAAATTTTTCCTTGCATTACAACATCAATATGTGCAGCTACCTGGTAATACAAAAGCATTAGTCAGCTGACAGGAAATAAATTGAACTTCTCCCTTGTCATATATGTGGAAAGACATAATCCTAATTTCTCAGGCAAGTAGAATTAGATCTATCTCAGTGATACCAAGATGATTATCTCTGGGAGGAAATTCAAATGAAAGGGGGGCAAAGAAGTTTTCCAAAGTAAAATTTGAGGTGCAAAAGGTCCCCAAAACTCCTTGAGCTACCTTCCTCTCATAGTATCAGGTTGGACAAAGTTTCCAGTTGCCAAAACTAAAGCATAATTTCTCACCTTCCAAAACTACCCTGAAAATTGATGTATTTAAGCTGGTTCTGCAGGACAGCAAAATATTTCTTAGGGAAAAATGGAAAACTTAAGTCAATGACTAACTCTGGCATCATAGAGGTCAGTAATTGGAATGAACACTAGTTTGATTGGAGTCAGTGTTTTTTTGGAAATTTAACTTGAATTTGGTCAAAACAATTGTTGCAGAGACCAACAAAAAACAGCTATGTATTGAACCAGGGGCATTCTGGATGCCTGCAGTGCTAGTTTACATTTTGAGAACCGTGAGGTACCAAGGGTGTGTGTGTGCGCCCTCACCCAGAGTTGGACAGGACAGAAGAACATGTCTAACCCATCAAAACTATTTCTGTCAAAAAGTGAGTCTGTGGTCAATAACCCATTTGGACGACTTTCCAATGTAGAGCATATTCTGTGCCCTTCATGGTGAGTAATGGGAACATCATACTTAAAATTCCAACAACTTTTAATTATTCGCAAAAACAGTCATAAAAACACCATAACATCTAGTTTGAAGGAAAAACTAGTCTCCTGTCTTTCAAAACAAGGACCAAATCTATTTCCTCTCTTATTTCAACAGTGTCAATCGGCTTCATAGGACTGGAAAAGTACATTTAAAGGATTCTTCTGAGAAGGCCACGTCTCTCAACTTTTCCATTCTTTTTAGAGGAGGTGCAGTGTGACTAAGGCAGAAAGTAATTGCCCTTTGCATCTCTCCAGGAATGGCACTCTCAAGAGCAAAGAAATGCCAGAGAATATGGGGGAAGCCCTGATATCCACATTCCCTTAGGGAATCCTGGTGGTGGCAGTATAAGAAACAAGGTGGTCAAGAGAAAGAGAAATTCCAAATAACCATAAACAGAAAGTAGATTAAATCTTGTTGGCAGTGAAAGGTCTTTTTTTGGAATATGTGAATGTGTTCTTACAGGGAAAACATGTGTTTTCAGGGTGAACAGTCCTTGTTTATGAAGATAGCCTTATACCCACAGGAAAACACATTTGAAGCAGTCTGCCTACCAGCAATGTAGAATTTATTCCAATTTAACCTCGTGCCTTGGCCCAGTTCCTTTGGTACCCAATGGCATGTTCCTTTGGTACCCAACAGCAGATAACCTGTGTCCACAGAGCTTAGTAAACACAGTCTGTTGTGCCTCAGGAGCTTAAGCCCAGAGCCTGGCCTCATGGTATGCACAAAGGTCTGATCTTGGAGTCTACGGTAGGGTTTTATTATAATTCCCTCAAACCGGGTCATGCCTCTTTTTATTTTGGTTTAAGCCCATTAAATTAAGCAAGAAGTCAAAACACTTCTTTTTCTTGCTGTGATGTAGGCCTGTGTGCCTGGTCAAGCATACTTTGATACTTCCACTAAGGGCAATTCCATATTAGTCTATTTTGAGGCTCCATATTATGTGCATTTCAGTAAGCACTCACACGCTGCAGGGAATGGGAAAGGAGTCCCAAAAAAGTACCTGATGACTTGGCAACTATCCTCACTAGCTCCTTATTAACTTCCAAAGCAACCAAAAGTGCTGTATCATTTGGGATGGGTTTACCCGGAAATTTTACCTAATTGACACAGTGAAGGTCATCAGAGTATTCTCTAAAGAATCAAAATCTGAAGACTTAAATTTCAGGCTAGATATTCCTTAATGAAATAGATAGTGCACAACCAAAATTTTTGGCTTTTCCCCATACCATAAACTGAAATAGCAATTACAGGGAGTAATGAAGACATAATTCTTGCCAAAAACTGAAAATGAAGACTTGGAGTATTGAGAGGGCTTCTCATATAGTTAGTGACTAGGACACCAAATATCCCTTCACAACAACTTTGGAAATGCAGCACCAACTGAAATTTAAGTCTTGGAACCGAATCAGCGAATCAAGAGATGTATACCAAACTAATCATTACCATGACCTTTTGGCTTAGATGATAAAATGATGCACTCGGTTCTGCCATCTGTTGAGTGGCTGCATTAAAATCCACACCTGGGAAATAAGGGACGTGATGGGTGCCAATGCTGGCCAGTGATGCTGTGCTGTGCCTCTCAGACCAATGAGGCAATTAAATGAGAGATTTCTCACTGGGCATAAAATTGTTCTTGCCAACATAAAATGTTTAATTAAACTGGCCTGGGTATATTGAAGATTAAATAAGAGGAAGGAAGCTGCAAATCTGTGCTTCATTTTATAACCCCGTGTCTGGTCCTATCGAATGCAGGCTCGCAGGAGTTTTATTCTACTTGGCTGCAGGGCGTTTATTCTCTGAGGGTAGCCAGGACTCATTAAAATGTCCACGGTATGTCTCTCACATGCATCCACACTTTCTTGTGCACTGGTACTTATTGTCACTCAACAGTGTGTTTTAGTCCTTTCTGCAAAAATGAGTTTTCAGGTCAGGAAAACAGCAGCTATTTTAACGTATTTAGACCTCTAAACAGCATGATCCCATTTGAACAGATAAAAGTCTTTATTCCCCTATAGGTTTACATAAGAAATTTCTTTACAGACTTGTTTTTTATACAATGCTTACGTAGCAATGTTCAAATTTCACATTTTTACTGCATAAGATAGCTTCATGTACATCTGTTTGCTTTGTCTTGTCGGGGAGGACAGGTTAAAGACCTATGGTAAATATATATCCACATGACAGAGGGGTGTGCAACAAGGCAGAGCAGATAACTCAGAGGAAAAGAGTTAAATGCAAGTACACTACATCAAAGTGGGAACCAAGAAAGTGTCTTCCATTCTAGCAACTACCACCATTTGGTAACTTCTTGCATAAGTTAGGATTACCCAAGGAGCCTCCCTCCCCCATCATAGTGACAGGAAACCTAAGAAAAGCAAAATAGTATCAGATTATTTGAAACAGTGGCCATCTGGGATTCATTCTGATTCAAGAAACCCAAACACAACCAACTTTAGGAACATCAATAGTGTGGAAAAGGAAAAGGCTAACTTTGTGTTGGTAAAATCATAGTCTCTAGAGAGGGATAGAAGATAAATTTGCAATATCTGGAGTATTTCAGTAAAGATTCTATTCTAAATATTTATGTAATAGTTTTTCTGTTCTGCCAGATAGCCTCTAATTTGCATAATTTGGTACATTGGGCAATCCTGTCATTTTTATCCCAAAACTCCAAGTTAGTGGCTATGGGAGGCTAATAATCTTACAGACTGAGAAGGTTAAGGACTCTGAGAGACTACAGAAAAACCTCATTATGGGAGATTTTATTTTGGCCCGAAATATCTAAAGCATGTATTTATTCAGTTGAATGCAGATCCCTCTTTATCTCTGGGTGGTCATTTCCATGGCATCGCTCAAGGCAGAATTGTTCCTGACCTGGGAAAGGCTATGTTGGTTTGAATCAAAATGATCAATGATATGTCAGGTAAGGAGGAAATAAGTTTTCAAAACAAAACAAAATTAATATTACATCTTGAGAAAATAGCTTCTTTTCTTGGTTTTGTTTTCCTGTAAGTATTAGCAATCCAAGTTCTATAATTCTAATTCAGGAAGAGCCAAGTCCAATATCAACTGACACTGAAAAAAGTGACAATCTCTTTCAGAGGTATTTTAAAATCTGTATCTATCAATTTTCCAAATCATACTAAAACCCAGGGAATCATAGAGGTTCCCTTATCCAGAATATTAAAGAAATTAAGACTTGATCACTTTCACTTTCTATTGTAAGGTCCTCTCTGGGAATTGCCTATGGATTATTTTTTTACTGTCCTCAGTAATAACCACTCTTCATCTTACAGGGGTGATTTTGCTTTTTGGAAATAGCTAAATATTACTCAGAACCAAGAGTGGTGGAAAAGGAGATCAAGAAAGAGGATATACTTTTAGATGCTAAAAATGGTGCTAATTGAGAATATGCTGATTTTCTTATACTGTATCATCTTCCTTGATATTATTTCTAAGGAGAAGAGTTTCAAAAATAACTTGAATGACGGCAGCATCATCAGAATAAGTATTAACTTCCCAAGTAAAACCAGGTTTTGAAGGGAACAACTTTCAATTAGATGTCAAAATTCTGATATGTCTGCTCAAAAAAATCATTAATTATAATAATTATAATCATATTTAGAAGTGCCTATTTAAACCTTATCTCCTCTGAGGTCTGTATTTTTAAAAACATTGGGACTTGAATTTGGTGAGAGCTTGTTATTTGAATGTTGTAAAGGCAAAAAAAAAAAAAAAAGAACCCAATTTGTGATGTTTTCTGGTATAGTTACTATTTTTACACAGCTGGAATAAAAGCAAATAAAAAAACATATGCTTATAGTATTTGCCCATTTTAAAAGGGCAGATCCCTGATTATACATTTAAGAAGACTTAAAGTCTTCTGATACTGTTTTATTAGAATAGGTAGGGGTGTGTGTGCACATGTGTGTGTGTATTATTAAAAAAGGAAAATCTATATCCAAGTCTGTGATGATTTAGGCTTCTATTCAGACAATCAATAAAGAGCAACCCAGGTTAGTAAAAGCCCATTATAATTCTTTAAAATGTAAATACTGCTACAGTAATAGCAGGAACTACAGACAATAACTGAAGAACATCAGGATTATATAAATCCTTCATAGTCCTTCTAAATGTAATAATATATACTTAGGATTCTATACCTCTGTAATCTTATAGACCATCTAGTCCAAACTCATTGTTTACATAAAGAACAGCAGCTCTGCGAGGGGAAGCGCCTGCTGAAGGTTGCTTGGCCAGTGCCTGACAACAGCCAGGATGAGCTCCTAGTGGCCTGTCCTGCTCAGGCCTCTTCTCCCCGCACCCTGCTCTATCTAGCTCAGGTCCCACACCTGTGAAATGGAGAGGATGGACTAGTGATAGTCTGGAAGGTCCCTCTTGCAGCTCAGTTTATGGTTCCACAGTTCTGTCAATGACTAGCACATGATGATCATCTCAAACTCTTTTAGTTCAGGGATGATGCTATAAACTAAGAAAGGCTCCATTTATCAAAGCACTCACATGTATTCCTTAACAGAAAAACAGTTCCCCCCCTTTGAGGCCCTAAAGAATAAGCCCAAGATAATTTCTTGTCATTATCTCCCTCAGGCTCGTCTCTGGCTTCTAGTCCTCTCATTTTCATTAACTAGCTCCATTAAGCTTTACTGAACCAAATAACTAGATAATATATCTCGATGTAATTATGGATAATGCATGAAAGGAACAATTTAGAGATACCTTGTTTCTAAACTGTACTCTTCATTATTTCAATTAAATTGAGAAACTAGACATTTCATTATATTTCTAACATATATGTATGAAAAAATCAAATATGAAAACATAGAACTAAAACATTATTCTTATTTAAAAATAAACATTTCCTTCATTAGTTTATACATTCTTTCTCTGTCCAGAAAAGAGAAGACAATTCTGATCTGCAACACTTTTCCTATCCATAAAGGAGTATACCAAGTCCTACTTTCACTGCTACCCAACAGGGAGAGCCCTGTATGGATATCTTTTTTTATGCTTAGCAGGAAGCTCGTGCCTCTCTTGATTTTAGAAATGATTTGTTATCCTAATAAAGGCCTTTACTTAGCTCATCTAGTTTCAGCCAGCACGGGAATGATTTAAACTCAGAAGGAAGACTGAAAGATTCAGACTTTTCCTCTGATGCCTTTCAAAGGCTTCTCTCACATTACTGAGGTCAAACTTGCCCTCCAGAGTGTTTTACAGGCTGTTGTTGTTAAAACTTTTTTTTCCCCCTTAAAGTGCAAACGTGAGGAAGAAGAAACAAAATGCTATATAGAGAAACAAGCAAATGGACTCGGAATTTTATTTGTACAAATCTGATTAACTAAGAGTTTCCCTTTTGATCATGGACAATGGCACTAGAGGAAGAGAACAATGGGTTCTCTGTGCCCATCTCTTTTCAAAAGGGTGATTTTATAAAAGTGCTTTCCACGCGAGGAAAAAAATACACTTTAATGAGTAAGTACATATACATAGGGTGACCATGAGGCATGTTGTCATGTCAGTGCAGGGGCCTTTATTTATTTTATGAACAATATTCTACAGTTAATAAACAGCTAGGTTTTGTTTTTATTTTTGTTTTAATCTAGGAAGCCAAGGAAAACCAACTGAACATATTCCTTTGGCTGTAGCCTTCAATTTAAACATTAGAGAGAAAGAAAGGTTAAGCTGGGCACAGTCAAATTGTGTCCAGCTTGTCAGCACACTTACTTCTGATTATCTGAAAATATACAACATGCTTATTCTACAGAGACAGAGGACCTGCTGAAAGCTTATAGCAACACACAAAGTCTACTCAAAATGATTCCATATGTTACACTGTAGGATCGCTGTGTAGTTATACAAGGGAAAGAGATCAAAACCCTGTACAGACACCTGACATCAGACTTGAAACGCCAAGTGGAAACAGAACTATTCAGCATCTTCATTTATACACAATTTACAATATTTGATTCAAAATAAAAATCACAAGAAAAATACATCTGTTTCTGCTACAATTCCTTCCCCTTCCCCATCCTCCCCCCCAATGAAAAGTCTTCTAATAAAAGGTATCATATTACCACCATTGTCTTGTTTTGGTCTAATTCTGAGATCCCAGCTTGGGACAGTTAACATGAAAAGGAATGGCAACACTCGGGATTTATGTTAACGTACACATTTTATCCAAGGATCTCAAGTACTTGCAGTCACGTCTCCAGATCTGAGAAATCACGGTTCAATGGAAGCCAGAAAGCTGGACGAATGCTGGGCAGGTTGCATGGGGTGTAAAATCCCTTGGCTACGTCTATGATCAAACAAGGTCAAAGTTGGTTGGCTACAGCTGGGCTCAGTTTCTCTTCTCAAACATACACTATCAGTCAGTCAGTTTTACCCTCTCTTAAACTGCACACCCATCTCCAGGCTACTGTCTTGAGTTAAGACCAACTGAAGGAGCCATGTCCTCATGAAAATGCATCAGGATAAAAAGCAAAAACAGGGAAACACATTCATCAGCATCTGGCCAAAGAACACAGGGGTTGGGAGGATTGATTTGGGAGGCCATTCCTAGCAAGAATGAGACAAAGGTGTCAATTCACTAGTTTCAGTTACAGTTAAGCTTTTGGTGGAGTCGATTCCAGCAGAGGTGAAGCTCATGGCATCTAGCACTTGATTTAAGATAATGCTATTGAAGAAGGGTTATGAGAAAACACAGCAAACTAACAGGGAGGAACTGGCCAAGGAATATCTGGAGGGCCAAAGTGATTTTCTTTCCTTATCATTTCTATAGGAGAAGGCAAGGGGTAGGAGAAAAGGGCTGGAGGGCCCCTTATTTGCAGATTTTTTTTAAAAAATCATTTTTCTCATAACTCCGTAATAAAAATGTATATTACGGTATGAAGGTTACAGAACTGCATCTGCTACTGGGTCACGGCTACAGGTCTATGAGCTGATCCACCAGCAGTAAAGACCTGGCTAGGTTGGGAAGACTGGACTCAGAGCTCCCACTGCTGTTTCTAGAGTGCCCACCTGGAAGTGGAGAGATAGGAATTCAGTACAAAACACAGAGGGTTAAGGTTTAGATGTGTAGAGCAAGCAAAGGAGAAAAAAACAAAAACAAAAAAACCTAGAGAAGCAACATTTTACATTTGCAAACTCTTACATGTTGATTTTTAAACATACAAATTAGCTATCCGCCACCTCCCACCAAAAGTTCAGGCACTCTCTCCACACCATAGTATAGGCAGGACACCTCGCAAAAGAGGACGCTATTTTTAAATCAATACATATTTTGCCTGAGAATTGCTGGATGTATACTAACTTCCTGATAACATCAAGGCATCTTCCTGATAAAGTAAAAATCAATAATTTTTGCTTTGGGAAGAAATTAGTTATTAAGAGTCTGCAATAAGAACATGCTTTATTAAATAAACAGATGAGCCTATGGCAAATTCCGAGTTTTATGGCATGTTCAAATTATTTTAATCCATCACAGAGGGAAAAGGATGCTCCATACATGTCCAAAAGATGTGGATGATATCAAAGTACCACCGCTAATCGTTTTAGAAAGAATATTTATTACAGATTGTTCTAATCATGATAAAACATGTTAAGTACTTTTGATATAAACCTTCAGGTTCCCATTGACTGAAGATCACTTTATTTTTGGCCTGATTGTAAAAACTATATATATACTGGTCAAACCTACTACTGTCATTACCCTCAACATACTTCATTAAATATTGATGCTTTCTTCCCCCGTTGCAAATTAGGTACATTGCTGTTTTGATGAAAGCTGATGTCAAGCTCTTCTCTTTTCCCCATCCTTTTTCTTACCTTGTTGGTTTTTGGTTATCAATACAGGAATAGGGTCAAACTCATCTTCCGCCACCTTGTCCGAGCCCTCAGGGACATCAAAACCTGAGATGAGATTACTATCTTCTGCAGCTTAATACAGAATGCGAGTACACAAGCAGAAACAACAGAGGTAGAGATTAGCAAATGAAAGAACGTGAAAGAGGCGCAAAGTTCCCAACTGTACTGTACAATCCCTGTTGTTTTTAAAGGTGAAAGCACTTCATTTCTCTGACTTCAAATAAATAAAAGTAGCAAAACTAGAAAATATAGGGATATAGAAAAAAATGCTTTAGAGTTGGCCATGTTGACTTTCAAAAATGATTAGGGAGAAGAATTTTTAGAACTGTGTCTACCATTTGTGAGACCGTTAATTGTAATTACTGTGAGGTTTCTCTTCAATGTCACTAATTTACAAAGGCACAGGAATTAGTCACTTGTCTTTATTGAGGGAACAGAGCCCTGACTTACAATATTTGAAAAACTCAAAACCAGGGATAGGGAAAGGAGGAAGAAAATTAGTGGCTCTTTAAGTAGTAGCCACTATATACAAGGTAAATGAAATACTTCTGGAAGGATTCACTGCTCTGTGACTGGAAAGAGTTTCAAACAACTCAGATGCCTCAGGGAATGCTGGGGCACAAGATCCCATGTACTGAGACCTCAAGCAGAAGTCTGTTAGAATATTCTTCTCCACTCTAATTAAAGCTACTCAACCAGCAAGTGCTAGCGGAGTACCTATTTCACAAGTGATGCTCCTCGTAATTACACATTGCTGCTCCTGCCAGATGTAACTGTTTAAATAGGTAACTTCACTCTACATACTTTATGACATAAAATATAATCATTTTAATGCTATCAGGGTAAAAACAAAACCTCAGCTATTACCATTGCAAACCATGGGCTGATTATTTTTAGTCAGCTCAAATAAACTTTTATATTTCCTTCAGGAGGGACTTAAGCTGTTCCTTTTCTATGCATTTCCCCCCTTCTAGAAAACCACTTTCACTACCCAGTCACAGCAAGTTCAGTAAACATTCAGCCTAACACTGCCACAAATGATTCACTGGATAGAACTCAATGCAAGCTCCCTCTGTCCCAGCAGAATTTCAAACCTGTATTAACCCAAGACTAAGAAATGAAAAGGTAGATTAGAAAGAGAAACCTAGTAATCAATCATGACTTAACAGTGAACTAAGATTCAAAACTTTGACAAGTTCAATCTTGGGGGACTGACTTTTGAGGAATGATGCCTATTTCTTTACTGTAGTCATCACTATTCAAAAACTGAATCCAATTTGCTGAAACAATGTTTCATATTGTTGGTAAGAACAACAAGCATCATATTAATAATTACACTCTGTGGACAGCCAGGTCAACCACCTCTTTGAGCTGGCTGCAAAGGTACAAAGCTCTTAAAGGTAACGTGGACTATCTGCACTTGAGGGTCTTGCCAGAAAGCAATACCTTCACCAACCCCGTTGTCTGTCTTATTAAATATTCTTCGTGTCTAGGAGTACAAACTCGAGTTTTCCATATAAGGAGACAGTTAAAAAATTTCACTAGCAAAAACTTTTGATAAGGAAAACTCTCAGGAGTTGTTCAGTTCATCTACTCTAAGAATATATGTGGGCCGGAGAAGAAGAAAGCATTTACCTTTATGGGCCGGAGCAGAGATTGCTATGGGGGCAAACTCTTCCAGAAGGTCAGTAGTAGGGTTAGAAAGCAGAGAGCAATCAAGCAAGGAATCTTCCCCGGTGAGAGAATCTGAGTCCAGATTATCAGCATCCCAGGTCAGTGATGGCATTAAGTGGTACACATAACAATACCATGAGATTAGATCTTAGCCTTTAAGTTACTCCATTTACATGTTACACATACAAGCCAATGTGGGAGAAAGAAAATCAAAAGAAACATGTTAAAGGCCTCTGGATTTCCATCTATAGAAACACGTATTTCTAGATTTCTCTTAACATTAATATGTAAAAAGAATTTTTTGCTCAGAAGTTGCAACAAGTCTGTGATCTGGATGCCAAGATAACTTTAGCAGCTCACTTCTCAGGAAATGCCACTTGGGAAAGAGGACTTTGCAATTACAGTTTCACTTAAACTTTCCCTAAACACTATAGGATGAGGTAACCAAACTGATTCAGAGAGGGTTGACCCTGGCTTGTTCTTAGCAGAATGTGACAAGATGAAATAGTACCTTCTAGACCTCACTGAGATTCCCATTCAAAATGCCTCTTACTAGTATTTAAATTTGAATCAATCCTTTGAACATATGATTTTGGTTTCAGTTAAAGAATAGAAAGAAGATAAAATTCAGAGTTCAAGCACTTTAACATAGGAAGTGCTTATTTTCTGGGAAAGTTTTGCAGGAGAAAACATCCGAGAGGACAAGGAAAAGAAACCATATTGTCTTTTAGGGTAATTTATTTTTTCACCTGAATGAGTTTAGCCTCATATTTCCTAGACTTCTAATTGTTTCCATTCCAAGTTAGAAAATCAGATACTTTTATCAAAGTAATTATGGACTCAAAAAAAAAATGATGGTTATCAAATCTGTATTTTGGGGCAGTTAAGGAATTCTAAGATTGAATTTCGAAATTAGGGTGAAAGCAATGCTAGAACCAGGGAAGATTTCACTTTGTCTGCAAGTTAGCAGCCGATCACCTATATATGATTATAGCACTGTGCTGGAACAGAATATCAACACACAAAAGATGAGTTCCACAGATTATCACTGACATTATTAGATAGGAAAGACTGCTCAGTCTGCTCAGACTGCTTAACCTGGAGGAGTTAAGGGCATCGCTCAGCAGAGTTATTTAATTAAAGAGGTAAAGGGAACCTGCCACCAGTGAAAAGAATCTTGAACAAAGAAATATTATAAGCAGAGAGAGCCCAGGGATCACTCTACAAAGAAAACATGATTCCAGAAAGTACTCCATTTTTCAGCAAAGAAAATATATCCCTCAACTTCTAGAAGCTGGGCCTGTAAGCATTCAGAGCATCCATTCTAAGAGGAACTAACAGGATTCACTGCCACAGGTGGAAAGCCTGGCCTGGCAGGCTCGCCACGTCGACCCATCCCCACAGCTGCAGGGACACCTGACTGACCTGTGCGGTTCGAGGTCACAGATTCCGTCTGAGATGGGAGGCGCTGGGGAGCTGGGGGCTCCAGTCCTGGTATGAGACTCTCAACAGCAACATCAGCTTTTTCTTTCATAACAGAGCATTAAGAGAGGAGAGGAAAGGGTAAGGGAAAGGGAGTCAGAAGGTTCTTTAGGAAATTCTGTGAAGGCTTTTTTCTAACAGGTCTCTAAAATGCCAGTCTCAGGTAAGATGAAAAGCACAAGTTACTTTATTTCCACTGCTTTAAGGGTCTGGGCTTCACTGATTGGGCATGCATGTGGCCAGTCTTAGTGACTATTAGTTCTTAGAGATAAATTCAGAACAAAAGCCACTCAGCAAATCTCTTCCATGTCAGAAAGGCACCTTAATTTTTTCTGGTAAATTTCAGTTTTCTTAAGGTATAACCTTGGAGGCAAACATACTCTGTGTCATGCAAAGGCCACTAATCTATCTCAAACCTCAACCCATGCTATAGCTGGGAGGTATTCTGTACCATGTGATATCCCTCAGCTGCAGGCCCTATTTCCTTGGTAAGGCCATGGCATCTCCTAGTTCTAGAACTTTTTTTTTTTTTTTTTGAGACAAGGGTTCACTCTGTGCCCTGGGCTAGAGTGCAGGGGCATCACCATAGCTCACTGCAACCTTAAATTCCTGGGCTCAAATGATTCTCTGCTCAGCCTAGTAGCAAAGGACTAGACTACAGGTGTGTATCACCACACCTGGATAATTTTTCTATTTGCTTTTTTTTTTGGAGACAGTGTCTCACTCTGTTGCCCGGGCTAGAGAGACGTGGTATCACCCTAGCTCACAGCAACCTGAAACTCCTGGGCTTAAGCAATCCTTCTGCCTCAGCCTCCTGAGTAGCTGGGACTATAGGTATGCGCCACCATGCCTGGCTAATTTTTTCTATATATATATTTTTAGTTGTCCAGCTAATTTCTTTCTATTTTTAGTAGAGACAGGGTCTTGCTCTTGCTCAGGCTGGTCTCGAACTCCTGACCTCAATCGATCCTCCCACTCTGCCTCCCAGATCGCTAGGATTACAGGCACAAGCCACCACGCTTGGCCTAATTTTTCTATTTTTTATAGAGATGGGGTCTCACTCTTGCAGTCCTAGAACTTTTTGCCCAAAGGCATTATTAGGTCTCAAATGATTGGACCCTCCTGGAGTATAGGGGCTTTGGACATTTTGTAGGTCTTGCCTGCCTTGCTGTTGGAGCACAGGAAAATGTGAGAAAGCAGACCAAACCCCTGCTTGGTTTTTGTTCATGGAGCTTAATCACTGGGCAAAGTGTTTTCTGTTACTGATACTTGGTACACACATGGGCCTTCTAGAGAAGAATCTGCTAAATTCTATGAAGTTCAGTCAAGATAAGGTCTTGGCTAAACTTGAATTTTTCCACATTCTTCCTCATTCATAAGAAATTCACTTTAGAAATCTCAGGATATCAAGAAGGGCAAAAATAACAGTGTTGCACCCCTGAAAAGCAAAGAACAACTTCATTTGGAGTGATAACAAGTGAGATTAAATAGCCTTGGCTTTTGGGTTAGCTCCCAAACCAGGAGGCTCTGTGGCCTTTCCCCTCCTCACCATGGCCATTCACTAGACATCTGTTAACTAGGTACTTGTCATTCTTGAAATAGACACACATATCATGCATGACAGAAGAAACAGAGATGGTGACTTTACCAATTACTGCATCGGAAGTGCTACCAAAGGGATCTGTCATAGGCAAGAGGTCAGGGAGCAGAAGAGAAGTGTCAGGAGATTTGAGTCCCTCAATTAGTTTTTCTACGGTAGGCAGAGAGGTAAAGAAAAAGTAAAAATGCAATGAGATATTAATGTAAGCAGATTGTTCACCATTTTCTATATAGACACATGTTAGGGGTTAATATTGAGTATAGATTCACCAAAAAAAAGAGAATACTATTAGTATCCTGTTTGAAGCCTATTAGGCTTTCAAAATTTGAAGTTTAAAAACGATTTTTCCCCAAGTAAAACAGTCACTTTATAAGGCATTCAAGATGCTGCCCTAGGTTTTTTGTCTGCTTGTTTTAACTTGAGGTATAATTTACAGATAATAAAAGTCACCAATATTAAGTGTACACTTTGATTAGCTTTGACAATTTGTATATTCATATAATCACTACCGAAAGAAGGATATAGAACATTTCCAACACCCCCAAAAGTTCCCTTGTTTCCGTTTACAGTCAATGCCTTCTCTTATCCCAGCCCCTGGCAACAGTGGATCTGCTTTCTGTCCCTGTAGTTTTGCCTGTTTCAGAATTTCCTATAAATGAAACTATACAGGATACACAGTCTTTCATGTCTGGTTTCCTTCATTTAGCATGATGCTTTTGAGATTCACCCGTATCAATAGTTTGTTCTGTTTCACTGCTGAGCCATGTTCCATTGCATGTACACACTACATTTTGTTCATCTACCAGTTAACAGACATTTGGTTGTTTCCAGTTTTTAGCTATTAAAAATAAAGCTGCCGTAACATTTGCATACAAGTGTTTTGTGTATTCATTTCCCTTCCTGGTCTCAGTTTTGAATCTTTCTCTTTTTTTTTGGACCTATATTTAGGAACAGTTTATAACTCACCAAGAGAATAAAATAAGCCACATCTAAGTTAACTTCAATAATCACTTATTGTCTGCCAGCTATATACCTGTGACAGGTTGGTACTCTTATTGTTCTGTGGTCCAATCTCACAAAATTCACTTAAGCCTGAAGATGGATTAATGTTGACGTCTTCTGACCAAGAAATAAAAGGATGTCAGAAGCCACCAGATTTGTCTATTTTTAATTTTTTTAGAAACAGGGTCTCATTCTGTTGCCCAGGTTGGAGTACAGTGACATGATCATAGCTCAGTGTGGCCTTGAACTCTTGGGCTCAAATAATCCTCCTGCCTTAGCATCCTGAAAAGCTAGGACTATAGGCACGTGCCACCATGCTTGGCTAATTTTTTATTTTTTAGTAGAGGGAGGGTCTCGCTATGTTGTCCAAGCTGGTCTCAAATTCCTGGCCTCAAGTGATCCCCCTGCCTTGGCCTCCCAAAGCACACTGGGATTATAGGTGTGAGCCACTCCCCCTGGCCCCACCTGGTAACTTAATGTTTGACAACGTATACATGTTACGATTTCTTCCAAAAGAATTCCTTTAGCCCTGATCCATCAAGAACACTCTATTTACCTTTAACCTATTAAAGGTAGAGCATTAACCTGAAACAAAATAATAAAACTACAAAATCTTACAAGAAGAGAATTTAGAGCTTATACTTCCTGTTACTTATAAAGAGACTTAAGTTACATAAATCCTATGACTTGCCCAATTAAAGGCATATCAACATTTTTTTATCACAGAAATAAAATGTCATTAAGATAAAATTAAAACTTATGCCTGATTTATATTGAAAAAAAGAAAGGAAGAAAAAAGGAAGCTTCTCAATAGCTGAGGAAAAAAAATCCCAACAGGGTACTAACTAAGTGTACAGGTGTTACTGCATCAGCATTAATCTTACACTATACATGGCATTTTATTATAAGATGTTAAAAATATCTTTGATAATTTTCAGCACACTGGTAAAAATAAGATGTTTTCCCCAATAAGCCTAAGTTTTAATTGTTATGAACACTAGTTTTTGTCTTATTACCCCCTTAAAAAACTTTTCATTTAAGAAAATATAATTATTTGCTTCTTTTAACTTAGCACTAGTATATTAACATTTGCAATCTTATAAAGCAATGGGTAAAAAGAAAATTACTTGCTTGTCTTTCTACAGCAGTTTACCTTGGTACAAAACCTCAGGCTAGTGTTCTTTCAGAATTTGGATTCTAGCCCCTCTGGTGACATGTGACCCTGACACAGTTCCTTAAACTTCTAATATTATCTACTCTCATCTGTAAAATGGAGACACTCTGCCCTACATTTTGTGTTGGTCACTCAAGCACCATCTCCTACAGGCCTTTCCCCACCTTCCCTGCCATGCCAGGAACCTTCTGGAGCAGTCACTTATCTTGCAGCCCTTACAACATGACTGAAGGCAGGAAAGTGTTTTATTAACCTCTGTATTCCCAGCTCTCAGTTACCTCTTACACTCTCTGCCATATCTATGCCTTTTGGCTTGATTAGAGAGTTGGGGAGAACAGGAAGTCAGATGGAAAAAGCCAGGCATTAATACTTGAACAAAAAAGTAATTCTTGTATTAGCCATTAGCAAAAAGCATGTGAGAGAGTAAAGAAGTGCATGTGTATACAAGTATGCTGTGTGGTGAGATGGAATGGGGTAATTGCCAAATTTAGGGAGGCTTATTTTCTGACCAAACCTTAAAGTAACAGGCTATTCACATAGATAACTTCTATGGTCACTGCTGCTTGGGAATGCACAAATAAATGCTGGAAATGTGGAAGAGAGGAGTGAAAACAGAAGATGACTGGGTAGAAAACCAGGAGTGAGCCGCAGTCTAGGAATACTAATAAAGTTGAGGAGAACAGAGATAAGAGACTGTGACAATGTGTGACTTGCCAAAGTCACAGATTGGACATAGTAGAGGCTGGACTTGATTTTGAAGTTCTCTCCATGTATTGCCTACAGGGTGTTCTGCCTATCTCTATCAACAGGAAGATGGGTCTTCACACATATACAGTCCCAGGCACAAGGGTAAAGTTATCAAAGATACGTTGTCATTGGAAGGAACCTCAGATCTCATCCAACTTAGCCTTCTCATTTACGAATGAAGAAACCAGCTCCAGAAAGATCTTAAAGCAGGTAAGCAATAGAACTAGCTAATATCAAGACCCAGATATTCTACCATACTAGTGATTCATCCTTCCTGTTTAACTAAGGCTTTTTTTTTTAAATTGAGGCAAGGTCTTGTTCTGTCATCCAGGCCGGAGTGCAGTGGAATGATCACAGCCCACTGTAGCCTCAAATTCCTGGGCCCAAGCAATCTCTTGCCTCAGCCTCCCGAGTAGCTGGGACTACAGGCACATGCCACTATGCCCAGCTTTCACTAAGGCTTTGATTGATTTTTTGTATATATTTTTAGTTGGCCAATTAATTTCTTTCTATTTATAGTAGAGGCGGGGTCTCGCTCTTGCTCAGGCTGGTTTCGAACTCCTGACCTTGAGCAATCCGCCCGCCTCGGCCTCCCAGAGAGCTAGGACTACAGGCGTAAGCCACCGCGCCCGGTCAAGACTCACATTCTTATTCTCAATTATTTAAGGTGACAGATCAACTAAACAAAAAAATTATTCATAAATTGCATTTTAAAATGATTTAATCCTAAGTAACATTTTGGAAGAGTTGTTACATCTTTGTGTTAGTATCACAAACCTATGACCATTAGAAGAAAATGGTCCAGTTTTGTATCAGTTCCCAGGCTTCCTCTGATATTTTTAGAAATGACTCTAGACTCTGTGTGTGTGTGCCCACATGTGAGGTGGTGGGAGGATACCTGGATTTGAGGAGAGTATCATTTTATTTATTTTATCTTTTACTGTGATACTGTACATTTTTGGGATTTTGGCTAGGGTCTGTAAAATTTCCCATAGTAAATAAGCAACATTAAAGAGTAAAAGAGCCTGAATTTAAGTTACCTAATTTTTCTAAGCATCAGTTTTCTTACCTGTAAACAGAGGTTAGGAATTACTTTAAAGGGCTGTTAGGATTAAAATGGGTACATTTATTAGAATTAATTTGGGTGTAAATAAATTCAAGTGTCTGGTACATAAAAGGGGATTAATTTCTCCTTTAAGTGAGAGGACACCAACCCACAGATGCTTGTGATTACAGTAGTAAATATGGGTGAAGTTCCAGATTTTGCTCAAATGCCTTGGTATGACAACAAATAAGCAGAACTTATAGAAAAAAGTGAAATGTAGGGAGAAGGCAGGATGGTCTATCAGAGACATAGATAAGATATTAAGAGCAAGAGACCTGGGTTCTACACTAAGTCTGTGTGGCACTTTGGGTAAATCTCTTACTCTCTCTGGATCTAAATTTTCTTATTAATAAAATGAAGATAAACTTTAACCCTCTGCACTCGGATGTCAAGTATGACTCGACACGGTTGGCATCGGTAGCAGCTCGTCTGTCGAGCCACACTCGACACGTAGTTTCACCATGGGGGGAAGGGGAATTTTTGTCTATTTTTCCAGTATCTTTTCTTGTTTTCCTTAGCATGAAAGGACAAGTAAAATGTAAATGCAGAGATGGTACACTAACTTCCAGGGGTAGATTATTATCCACTAACTTAGAGCAACGTTTAGATGGAAAACTCCATATAATCACACCTCACCCTAACAAAAAACACAAAGATTGTGTCGTTTGTTCTAACAGAAAAATCAAAGGAGGAAGTAGAGAGACAATTTATATTTGCGAAACATGTGAATGTAAACCAGGTCTTCATGTGAGTGAATGTTTCAAAAAATACCACACCATGAAAAATTATAGAGATTAAAATTACTCTTTGAATGTATCAATAATTTGAAATATAAAAAAACAAATAAATAAGTTTGTATGAAAAGAAACTCCAGTTTTTTATTTTACTGCCACGCTTTGTAAAATCTGGGGTATTGGCTGGGCGCGGTGGCTCACGCCTGTAATCCTAGCACTCTGGGAGGCCGAGGCGGGCGGATTGCTCAAGGTCAGCAGTTCGAAACCAGCCTGAGCAAGAGTGAGACCCCGTCTCTACTATCAATAGAAAGAAATTAATTGGCCTACTAATATATATAGAAAAAATTAGCCAGGCATGGTGGCGCATGCCTGTAGTCCCAGCTACTCG